ATATAAATTTGAAAAGTAAATGGGTTTGTAAAACATTTTGAAGTAAAACAGTTTGATAGACAGTTTGAACAGTGATAAAATCACTAGTTTCCCTAGTTATTAATCACATGTGATTAATGAAATCACATGTGATTGAATCAATAACTATAAGTATTTAACTTGTATCCCCCCCCATAAGTATTTAAAACATTTAAAATCATTTCAAAGGTTGATTAAAGGGGGTAAGGACTCACTTGATTGATTGAAGAAAGCGAGATGGAAAACCGGGCAGAGTTTCGTCTCGGGAAATGGATTTTTTTCTCGGGATTCTTGGGAATCTCGGGAGTAAAATCGACCCTCGGGACTTGAGCAAAAAGACCAGAGCTTCGGGTTTGAACGGGCACGGAAATCGAGGCAAGATCGTGAGAGAAAGGAGAGAAATGAGCAAAATTTCCGGAAAGCCTTGCATCCCTTTTATAGGGGTGCTGAACCGCCTCGGTACGCTGGGCGTACGAGGGTACGCAGCGCGTACAAGACGTCATCACTTACGCACTTCGGATGGGATGGCGGGTCGGACGGGCGGGTCGGAAGCTTCGCATAGGCGACGTGGACGATCCGAGGCCCTTGATCTGAGTACGCGGGGCGTACGAAGGTACGTAGGGCGTACTCCGGTCCTATCCGATGACTCCCCTTCGGATAATACCGGGAGTTTATAATTAAATTTGTATTTATTTTAAATAAACTTCTAAAATTCATATCTCCTTCATACGAACTCCGTTTTTGACGTTATTTATATCCACGCGAAGGTGAGATCAAGATCTACAACTTTCGTTTAGACTCCGTTGGCAAATTCCGAAATTATTTTTATTATTTATTTATTAAAATGACGTGATTAAGGAATTTCTTCAAAAATTCATAACTTCCACATCCGAAGTCAGATTTGGACGTTCTTTTTATTTACGCTCATAGTTTGAGGTTATCTATAACTTTCATTTAGATACTTAAGGCTAAAAACTATTGCATTGAAATTTTGCGTTTTTCGTTTAATCGCTGTTGCCGGTTTTGCCGTGAATCTTCGGTTGGTCATAACTCTTCATTATAACTCGGATTTTAAGGTTCTTTATATGTACAAAAACCTTGATACGATTCCTACTACTTTATTTAACCCAAATAAGATTTTTGGAAAGTTATATTTTGATCTAGATTTGATTGGTTTTACATTACATTGTCTCGAAATATCGGGTTGTCACATTATCCTTGTCTTGTGATTATGGTTTTCACAAATTCATATGGGTAGGAACTCATACACCATAAAAATCTAAGTGTCATAAGGTTTCTCTCCGATTCATGAAAATGATGGTGAGGAAACACTTTCACTAAGTAGATTTTAGCTAGATAGCAATTGTGATATTTGCATTATCAAAGTCGTTAATGGAGCGTGTGTGGTTTACCAGCACACTAACCTGTACTTGTGAGAAGTGGCAAAAAGGTCTACCCATTATGATTACGGCATCCCTCTTCATAATTGTTTAGACACACAAGTATGCTATCTAAGGGAAGGTGTATGATTTTGATAAAGTCTTATCAAAACAATCTAGTATCAGAAATCTGAACTTTGGTAAGAAAGTCAGCTGATTTCTGAGTACATGTCAAAGCTAGTGGGAGCATGATAATTATGATAAGTATTGCAAGCTAGCAAGGTTAATTATAGAAAACAAAAGTTTCAATTGGGAAAAGTTGTTTTGCTATAATTAAGGGAGAGGAAATTATACTTCATCTCAATTCTATAAGCTTAGATCGTGAGGTTTTAATCATTTAGTCAACGATATATATGAATTTCATGTTGGAATGGCTCAACATTAGGAAATTTTGTATATGAGTCCATCATTTGCGTTCTAAAATTCTATTATGATTACAACATCCCTTTTCATAATCTGAATTATGAGAACTTGGAAAATTGAAATGGAAATCTTATCGCAAAAGACTGGTTTAGTCTTTATCTGAGACATCATGAATCGTGTCCCATATGCTTCAGATATAGGATCGATTACATGTGCTATATTCATCCGTTCTAAGTTTTTCCAAATGCCTGGGGCATAAAGAAGGGAAAAGCTCTAGAATTGGATGTGACTAAAAAGGATTAAATAGTTGTCGAGGACAATCTAAGGTTGACCAAAGATTGGGTGCTCAAGGACAGTTGGAAGTATAGTGATAATTCTGGAACGATCATATTGACATAGTCTGTAAGGAGGCAACTCTTGTTCAGAAGTGATAGTTAAAATGGAATCTGGAAATGTTTCAAAGTTAGAATTTTCAATCTGTTTAAGATTAGGAAACTTAATGCAAGAAGGATGTTTCCAAGGAGCTGATCTTCTTTGGAATACTCTGTAATGATTGTTGTCAAGTCTTTCTAACTTTGTGCATAATCATTACAAGAGGATCAATGCATATAAGTTTAGAATCTAAAAGATTTCAGTAAATGACATGAATTTGGAATTCTTGTACTTGCAGTAAGGATTTGGGAGTGTGAAAAGAGAATCATTGAAGTTATGTTCAATGGATCTAGTTCACAAAGTAAAGATCATAGACAAACATAGTATGCATACTTGGTGTATGGCATGACTAGTGTTTAGAAAACATAGTGTACATGCTTGGAGCATGGGACAACTATTGTTTTAAATTCAAGAATAAAAAACAGTATACAATGAATAATGTGTAATCATATGGTGATAAATAAAAGGTGTTTTATTTATGTTCATAGATTTTGATACCATATTGGATTAAATTATTATTGTGTTTCATTTTGCATGTTTTGACTTCCAGAATAAACTTGGTTATTCGTCCGGAATGACTATGTTATTCAAACCATCCACAGTCGGTCATATGTTGGGAGTAGATATGAATTAAGACTGTCATGGGTTAGCTTGTAGAGGTCTAAGGTGTTGGACAAAGGTCTACAACACTCATGAGTGCTCATAAGTTCTGAGTATTGGATTCAACCTGCGCTCATTGGAATCACTTCATGGATTTAATCATGAGTGATCATGAGACGATAATATCTTATATTCTTCAAATCTAGAGATATGAGTTGTTACTATGAGTTGGTTGTACATTGATTGCACGAAAACGAATTTGGTAACTCAGTGCTATAAAACGTGTCTTAGTGTATGATTCAACAAGTAGTAGAACCAGCCATATGAGTCGAAGTTAATCCATTCCTTTTACCTTCGGGTTAAAAGCGATATCTGTGGGTCCCTCGATGATTTGATGATGACAAATGGAAGTGCTCGGCCGGGCCAGGACTGATTTGATTTGTTCAATTAGTCAGTCGTCATAAATTGGAAATAGGGAAACAACGAATGGACAGAGAGAATGATTATAATCCATGTCTCAGTCTATATGATATCTAGAATGGAGGAATATATGATCCCTTATCTAATTGACAAGTCAATGAAAAAGGTCAGAGTTCATCTACAAGGTCAGAGTTCGACAGATGCTTTTGAGAGCTACGATTGCCAGTCGGTTCCTGAAGTCATACGCAATAATAGTTTTAGACTTATCCAACTGGGATACTGTTGGATTAATGTCTAAGTCCATAACTATAATTGGTAAGACTTGACCCGACCCGACATGGTCCATTTGGATTGCATAGCATCATGCACTTGGTTAGACTATAATAAGAGAAACAAGACACTTATGGTTATTAATATATTATAAGTTCTAGTATATTAATAATAAAAATAATAAGATTATTTAATTAGTATTGATCAAGAATTAATCTAGGATTAACTAAGTGATCAAAATAAGACTAATTAAATATATGGGTTGATTGTGTAAATCATCCATACTTGTATAGTGGGCTAACGCTCCATGGATAATCAAGTTGGGCTATGGTCCATGGATGCTCCATGGTGTGTTTGAACCCATGGATCCAAGGAAATGGAAAGTCATGACAATTAGGGTTTACGCTAATTGTAACACTATATAAAGATATTATTCTTGACGAAATCGGCGACTAGTGAGAGTAATAGAAGGGCTAGCTAATTTTCATGAAGTGTATAACTCTCTCAAGTTATTCCAAGTGTATTTGGTGTTGTGTGAACCATTTGAGGTGTCACACTTGGGGCACTAGCCACTCAAGCTTCATGAAGACTTTCTACATCAAAGAGGTATGTATTCTATCTTGTTACATTCATTGTTTTGTATGCTAGATTAGGATGATACCTTGGAAGTTCTTATTTGCATGTATAATAGAGAAAACATAGATCCAAGGTATTTAGGGTTGCATGTACACTTAGGAGTGTTAGAATGCTCAAAACCCAACAAATAGACCTTATACACTAATTAGATTAAGAAAGAAGCAAATTGAAATAAAATAAAAGAAAATGTTTTTGAATTACGATTTGAGTTTTCTAAAATGAAATAAAAACATAAATAAAATATTTTTGGATTTTTTTAGATTCTTTGAAAAAGAACTTGTAAGTCCCCAAATTGTGGATCCAATTTAGTAATCAATGAAGTTAATTGCAATTAAAATAAAGTGTAGAAGGAGTCGAAAGAAGATAATATCAAGCATGCACAAATTTATCATAAAATGTCAAGTACACCTTGTAAGTACACCCAATGTTGTGCTCAGCCAAAAAATACAATCTGACACAACTCCACTACTATAAATAGTATCTCCCACCAGCACACGAGTGTGCAGCCACACATGTGTGTGTGGCCGCACACAACACACGAGTGTGCAACCACACATGCGTGTGCGGCCGCACACAGTATGTGCGGCCGCACACACGTGTGAGGCTGCACACGTCTTGTCTACAAATTATCTAGTGACGAGCCAAAGTCCGGATATCCCTCTCTCTAAATCGAAGAATATCTTTTGCGCTAATCAACCTCAGAACATGTTCCCAATCCCTTTATTTGATAGCAGCAGTTGCAGTTTCGTCATCATACGCCCAAAATTCCATTTTGTCAAGATATCCCTCCTGGAAGTTCTGAGGGATTGGAATTTCTTTCTTCTATTTTGTAGCAGGCCACATAATGATCTTCATGGGTTTTCCTAATTCTGGATCAAGAACATCTTTATCCTTTTGGTAGAGGGCTCTTGCGGTCTTCATCTTGGGAAAATTCTCCTTGACTTGCCTATCAAGAAACCTCTTGAAGTTAGATGCACTTGGATCATCTGATGGATTGTGGAATGGGGCCCTTGATAATTCAGCTAAATCAGTTTCATGGGTGCTTTTATAACACTCAGATACTCCTGAGTTTCACTTTACAACCCACAAATTCGTCTCTGGATCAAAGGCCCACATTTGGATTTCGGACCTATCTCCATACTCGACACCGAACTTTCTTTTCATTAAGTTTGTCACAGTCAAAACAGGGTCTTTTGCCTTGCGATTTTCATTAGAGTTTTTCTTGAATAAAAGCCCTTCGCTTTGATTGGCAGTTACAATTCTTTTGCCTTGTTTGATCGTGATTCTGGCTCTGCTTCCTTCTAGTTCTTTTTCAAACCTGTTGACAATGGTGGTTGTTCTTGGAGCAGGTGGGTTGATAGGAAAATCATCAGCTGTAGAATGTGATTGAGCTGTGGGAGGATCAACTATTCCATGTGGCTGTTGGAAGAGGGCTTTGACTCTTTCACCGAATGCATCGTACAAAACGTTCTTGAGATTGAAATAATTGGCTGATACGGATCCAAGACTCATTTGTAAATCTCTAATTTGTTTGGACTTTTCTTCATCCTTCGCCATGAGCTCAACAATGTATGCAGTGAGTTGATCCATCTGAATTGACTTTTTGATGAGCTCTTGAAGGAGAATCCTAATCTCCTCTTGAAGATCAGGCGAGGAAGATTTGTCATCACCTGTTCGTCCATTCCTAAAGGATATTCCTTTGCCGCGTGTGGAGGTTAGAATAGGTTGTGCTAGGTGTTTTACCAATCTAATAGAAGCTTCATCTAATGAAGGTCGAGTGGGAGAATATTCTGGAATGGATGACGACCTACCAGTCTCAAACATGGTACTCGGACCTTCATCAGATTGATTTGGAGGAGAGTGAACAGTGGTAGTAGTGATTGTTGAAAGAACATGAGGTGCACTTCTTACATCAGGTACCTACAGACTTGCAAGTGATTGGCTTGTTTTCATGGAAGTCTGAGGTTGAGTTGAGTCAGGAATGATTGGAACAGAAGTTGAGATGGATGACACAGAGGGAGGAATCTTTGATGTCACATCTCATTGGCTTGATGCGACCTCCAAGGGCTTTGAAATAGAGAGCAGAATCTTGAGAACATTTCCTTCATCTCTAGTCTTGGTTGCTGAAGCAGCAACTTCATCGACTTTACTAACACAGCTGCTGGGAATTCCAGGAAAATAACCAAAATCTTCATCGCCATGATCAAATTCTATGTTTGTTAGGATGTTGTCACTGATCCCCGTAAAGTCAAATTCTTTTAAAAACTCTACATCATCATAAAGATCAGCGTCATCATCCTCTTGAGCAGATTTTGATTCATTTGTTTTCTGAAAATCATGCTCATCAGCCACAAAAGCTGTCGAAGAATCATGAATCTCCTCAACTTCTGGCTCCGAGGTAGAATGAAAAATGTCTTCAGTTTCCATCGGAATGGACTAATCTCCTGATTCTTCTCTATCATTCCCATCAAAAATTCCAAATTTTATCAATGGAAATGTTCCTTCAAACACCCGCCTCTTTTTTGTTTCATTAGTCCAAAAGCACTTGGACCAATGGATTTGAAATCCAAGGTATCATTTACTCTCTACAGCTCGGGGTGAGTCACATTAAGGATGATTTGCAAAAATCTTGGATACATCAAGAATTTGTCCCTTTTGCTTCCTTCAAGGTTTAGAATCAATTCATTCATTATGAATTTTGAGAAATTGAACTCAAATCCTGCAGCCAAGACTGTAATTGCTCCAGTGTTAGCTAGGGAGATCTCGTTTGCTCCTGATCTCCCGCCGGAAATACAACTCACGAACGCATGAGCGAGATACTTCCAACATGGAGGAAGCAACTTCTTGATTGTAGGGGGAAAGGTTCCCTCGTATCTCATGTGCTCCAAGACATCCTGAGTTTGATGAATGTCAATTTCTATTGTGTACTAGATCTGTCTTCTATTTGGAGAGATTCCCTAATGATGCTCTCTGTTACTTGAATTTTCTTGTCTTCGATTGTTGCTTCAACGAACTTGTCACCCTGATCATTCTTCTTCACAACAACACTCCTCTAGAAATCCTTAATCAGATTTTGGTAGATAGCAGGGCATTTAGTTAGAGCATGGACCAAACATGATTTCTTCAAACCATACACAATGAATTTCAAGTCATTGTGAGCTGCAGGAAGGTCTTCAGGAAAAATGGCGGAGTTGTGGACTTTATCGAATTCCATGTCTCCCATCTTAATCTGAAAATAAACACACAAAATCATTAGGGCAAAATTATTGAAAATGGTGCAACCGCACATAGAATTGCATACAGCCGCACACGTGCAAGTGTGCAGCCGAACCGCACACGCTCAACTGTTCACAGTTTAATGTAATCGCACACGGTTCAGCTACACACGCCCGTGTGCGGCCGCACAGACCGTGTGCGGTCACACTTGGAGATGAAACAGTTGATACTTCGATTAAACAGCAAACGGTGAATAATTTTAAAAAAAATTCGTTATTTGAGCCGTGTTCATGAGAATTACTAGGAAAGAACTTTGAGACAAGAGACAAATAGAAACAGTGGCGGTGAAGGACTCACCGCACACACCCTATATATACACAAAAAAAATTTCATTTCCTCCCCCTTACCTTTTTAATAATCAAAACCGATGCCCCAAGCTTAACAAATTTTGAAAAATAAAACATTTTGAAGATTTGATTAACTAAAATTATTATTTCTAAGAATTTAAAAATAAAACCTAAAATAAAACTTATTATTAAAAAAATAAAAATAAAATTAATAAAAAAATAAAAATAAAAATAGAATAGAATAAAATGATATTAAAAATACTATTAACGACAAAGAATAAAAAATTAAATTTAATCCTATATAAATTCTTTTAACCAATTGAGATTTGGGATCAAAGTTGTTGAGCAGTCCTTCTTCATGTATCAATTCCTCCTCCTTCATGAATAGATCTGGTTGATCGTCGGTAATGTGGTCCACTTAAACACGAAAATTTTTGTGACAAATTAAGACATGCTATAAGTGACAAGACAAATTAACCCTAAGTTACTAGATAATATTCCTAAGGACCATCAATCTGACGACGACCAAGGATATTGTTGTCCACTTAAATTGAGCAGCGAGATCTACAGACAATCTAAAATTGTACAATTTTAGATGTACTGGATCATGTTCCCGCTTCCTGACATACCCCAATAATCAAGAACTTCCGAGATACTCCTCACTTTAGATGAGCAGATATTATTCATAGAAAGGATAGATTCAGATTATTATTATTTATAGTTTTTTAAAGAGGGATTGAGAAGTAGAAGGTTGCATATGCTGTGTACCAGGTCGGGTAGTCAATCACGCAAAGGAGACAACACATGGCTAACAGATAAGAAGAATTTCATAATATTCATAGAAATAGATTTGCATATGTTGCAGTCCAGGTCAGATCTCTTCCAATCATGTAAAGGAGGCAAAATAATTTTCTACAGACCTATTTTATTGGAATTCCCCAGTTGCTCCATCAATACCGGAATTATGGACAAAATTCGTACATCGAAGAAAAGTTAAGCCACGGTTCTAGATACGGGTTCTCTTAATGTGACTAATGGATTCTCATGTATATCTCTCTGCTCAACCAATCCGAGCATCGTATTGTCAGTCTAAACGGAACTATCTAGGTCAATATTTATCAAGTCTCTAGAATCCTTAAGTTCATTTGCACCTAGTCAAGACCGTTAAATTCTTCGTGCCTACCAGCGCATCAAATACAGAGTCTAGATAATCCAGTTTTGGTACTTTACACAAACTCAGATTGCCTGTTATTACTTGTTAATATCACTTCCCAACTCATATCATAAAACACAAATTAAAAATTTTAATGTTTTTGGATTTTCTAATTTTCTGATGTTTTTGGATTTTCTTATTTTCTGATTTTTTGGATTTTTAATTAATTTTTTTACTGTTTTTGGATTTTCTAAATTCTCCCCCTAAATTTGTGCATAAAAAAATAAAAGAAAAATAATGTGCAAATTTATCCTAAACTAAACATAAAAAAAAGTAATCCACAAAACGAATCATTTTCAAAAAATTAACCAGCACATCGAATCGAGCTTTGTTAAACGTCTTCGTGAACAGATTTACTACATTATTATCAGAGCGCACATGTTCTAGCCGAATGAGCGAACGCTCATAACATTCTTTGATAAAGTGACTTTTGATATTGATGTGCTTGGTTTTTAAGTGTTGGACCGGGTTTTTGCCAATTTGGATCGCAGCCTCATTATCACAGAAAAGAGGGGTTTCTTGAAAATTCAAACCGTAGTCCAACAACTGATGTTGGATCTGATGGGTTTTGAGCATTCTAACACTTCCTAAGTGTACATGCAACCCTAATAACCTTGGATCTATGTTTGTCTAATTATCATGCAAAGTTGAATTCCAAGGTTATATTCCTATCTAGCATACATGGGGAACAATTTCTAACTTGAATGAAAGATAGCATAACTTACCTTGTTGTTGCTTATGTTCCTTGAAACCTTGTGAGCCTAGCACCCCAAGTGTGATGCCTCAAATGCTTCACACAACACCAAATGCTCTTGGAAAGACTTTTTGAGACAATACACACTTCCTGAAATCGGCCTAGCCCTCTTGTTTCATATGTGTAGCAAATTTTGGTGGAGAATGGGATTCTTATATAGTGTTGACACATCTAGGGTTACACCATGTAAACCCTAATGTGTCATGACTCTTCATTTCCATGACCCATGGGTTTGTAACTCCCATGGAGCATCCATGGAGCATCCTATGGGTAGAACCCAACTTGATAATCCATGGAGCCTCTTAGCCCACTATACAAGATATGAATGATTTACATAATCAACCCATATATTTAATTAGTTATCTTTTGATCACTTAATTAATTCTAAATTAATTCTTTGATCAAACTAATCAAATAATATTATTAATATATTAGAACTTATAATATATTAATAATCTCCAAGTGTTATTCCTCTCATTTAGTCTATCCAATTGCATGGTGCCATACAACCCAAATGGACCATGCTGGGTACTTACATTATTCCCATTACTTTCATATTGTGACAGTTCCACTTGAAAGTTAATGCAACTATTTTCGAGATAAGATAGTTGTAAACTAGGGAAAACTTACATTTTAAAAATGAAAAACAGAACATTCGGGACTAGTACATCCAGTAGAAAGGGACCATAATGCTAACTTTATGATTCCTTAATGTATACATCAAGGGATATATATATATATATATATATATATATATATACTTATAAATAGGATCCGACATGTAATAGGATGTGTGCTCTCCGCTTTATTTCATGTTCCTTGTTTGGTTGTGGGCTTAGAGCAGATTCACCCAACCTATTATTTATTTGATCTTAGGTATATATATGTTTCGTATACATTAAGTCATCATAAGGGGTACCAGGTATAGGTCAAGTCATAGGACACTAATTCAATGCACAATTTTCAAGTACAAAGCATACTTTTCAAACAGAACTTTTGGTACTCAAAGCTAGAAACTCACCAGTAAAAGGTTTAATCCATTTTATTAAACCAATGTAAACATAAAGGACTTTAGGTGATTGACTCTATAATACTTTAGTTTATACATCATGGTTATATATCATTAATACCCAACACATAGTTGGATGTGTGCTCTTCCGCCTTATTTCTTGTTGCTTGTTTGGTTGTGGGCTTAGGGCAGATTCATCCAATCAACTATTTATTCGATATTAGATTATATACAGCCAGTATAAACTGAGTGATTATAGAAGTAATCACTGTGGTCACTATTTTATTATAAGAAATAAGGGTTTTCTTAAGGGATATTTTCATTAAATATTAAGGAACTATTACAATTAACTCCATTAGTAACGAGTGAATACACCAGGGTTATATACAACAAGGACCTAACAAACAATGGGATGTGTGCGATCCGCCTTATCTCCTATTCCTTGTTTGGTTGTGGACTTAGGGTAAATGCGCACAATCAATTGTCAGTTTACTCTGAGTTTTATATAATTTGTATCCATTTAGTACTCATAGAAAGGATTGTAGAATCATTTTTATGTATCTTTCATCAAATTAGGAAATATAGGATTTTCTAGAGGAACAGGCGAAATTTTCTAAAAACATAACTTATAACTTACTACTATTCAACTACATTTTTCAACAACTTTCTACAACTTACATACATCATTAAAATCTTATGAATTCGCCTGCTTATTTGTTGATCAACTCTTTCAAATAACTTGAATTCTCAGGAAACTAGTAGACAGGTACACGCTATGGGAATTCAGAAGATGGAGTCGTATAGATTCGAGTCTTGTTTTGTTATTTTCTTATGAATTCTATGTTTTTTGAACACACACATTGTAAACACTTTCTTTTTACATGAAAT